CGTAGCATCACAAGTTTACACACACCGTAGCATCACAAGTTTACACACACCGTAGCATCACAAGTTTACACACACTGTAGTATCACAAGTTTACACACACCGTAGTATCACAAGTTTACACACACAGTAGTATTGCAAGTTTACACACACACAGTAGTATCGCAAGTTTACACACACACACACACACAGTAGTATCACAAGTTTACACACACACTGTAGTATCACAAGTTTACACACACACATAGTAGTATCACAAGTTTACACACACACATAGTAGCATCACAAGTTTACACACACCGTAGCATCACAAGTTTACACACACTGTAGTATCACAAGTTTACACACACAGTAGTATCGCAAGTTTACACACACACAGTAGTATCGCAAGTTTACACACACACACACAGTAGCATCGCAAGTTTACACACACATAGTAGCATCACAAGTTTACACACACATAGTAGCATCACAAGTTTACAAACACACAGTAGTATCACAAGTTTACAAAGTAAATGATATCAAAGTTTCTTATTATACTTCCTATTTTACACAGTCAAATAAAACTAGTGAAAACATGCATTTCGCACCAAAATAATCAAGTAACAACAACACTGAGAATATTGTGCTTTTACAATATAATTGCTTTTCAGTTTTGTGTTGCTTGCAATTGATACTTTCAGAAGAAAGAATTTTAATGAGCATGTTTTCATCTTTCATATTGTCATTCAGTGTTCATATCGTACAAGTTTAGTATTATAGGGACAGTAGAATATTTATTTTTAGACTACATATGAAAAAATGTATATAATTTTATATATTTTGTGTTGTTTTTTGTTAGTGTAATTAACTGAATTTTTCCATCATTTTGAATAGTGGGCTACTTATAACCTACCTATATTTAAAAGAAATCAATAAGGGTGGAAAGATCAATTGGATATACTTTTATGTACATCGCTTCTGGAGGTAGGTTTGAACTTGTTGCTTTGTTTATTTAGATGTACTTGCACCTATGTGTTTATTTATCCTTCCTTTGTGTGTATCATTCCATGTCATTGACAGAAAAAAGTATTTCAAAAACTTAAATAAATTTGAGCCTTGTGGTATAAAATAATTTGTTTCTTCACAATATGTACTTGTAATAAGATAAAAACTAAAATTAATATTGATTTGGCATCCTAGTGGCTGTAGTAAGCTTGAGTGCTTACTATGCTTTAATTCAGGGTTTAGAGTTTGTGTTGGATTGTGTTTGTACAAATCAACCAAAGATAGAAATGTGTATTAGTTATTCCCTGGGCATATGACATCCATCATGATTTTATTACTCATGACAGTATTTTAAGACTTGCAATAATAAACTGAAATTATTAATATTTGAAGAAGAAAAAAAGTAATAATGTAAATTATTCTGTGAAAAATATTTGTTCATACAAACATATCTGACCTGGCACCTGCAACTGAGACTAGGTTAAGCACAACTTTTTGATGTTCATTGTATATTGGCTAGTTTAGCACTGACAACAGGTCTTCTGTAGGTAAATTACTTTGCAAAAAGCATGGACCTTCTCTAGTATCTTGAGACACGAACAAGAGAGAAGAATTAACTTATTTTCAAATGAATATTTCTCAGCAAGAGGTTTATCAATGAGTACAACAATTGTATTTGTTGAAAACTCTAATTCTAAATTATCATCAAAAAGGATTTTAATGCTTTTATCATTTGCTAAATATGGTGGTGTCCAAAACATCTAGTTCCCGTAGAATTGACTTGAGATTTTATGTAACACTTATATTTTTATGTGACTTTTTCTCCAGTGTTTGGATTTTTTTCAGATTCAATTGGCAGTTATGTATCTAATTTAATGACACCATTGAAGTTATTTTCCTTAATTGATAATATACCCAACCAGACAGTAGTACTGAACACTAAAGTCATTATTTGCGTATGTTTAGGATACATCAGTTTCCACAACTTTGTTTTTTTTTTATATACAAGGTTAACCCCGCCATTTATGTTATTACTTGCTTTTGATGCTGTGTTGTGGAAGCATCTTGGATCAGGACCATACTGGCCTGAGGAAGGAATGGAAGGAACCAAGTGCTCAAAGTACTGGTGGCGGAATCTTTTGTACATCAACAACATGTGGAATGCAACAGAGATGGTACTTAGTTTGTTTTTTTTTTGGTGTATAGAGGAAAATATGAATGTCTCATTATTCAATTTGGTAATCAATAATCTTAGACAATAACTAATCTTTGGTTGGATGCAGGTAAAAAGTAGTTTTACTTTTCAATTTTAATTCAATTCTCATTGGACACAACAGCATGACCTGTTGCATATCATATATAGCCTACTATATTACCTGTAAAATACCATAAAAATAAAAAGAATTATAGGCTGAAGTACCACATTGAAATACAAGTTGTCGTTTTAACCCACAAGCTTTTCACCTTCTTGAAGAGCTCTTTGTCAGATGGAATTACAACACTAATTGAAAAAATGTTTTAAAAATAGAAATCAGTCATTTGAGAAAACAATATGATCATGTGTATAAATAACTAAATAGCATAATGTAGCTCTTTGGTTGTGTAAATTGTCTAAGGTATTGTATAAATTTTATTGGAATCATAGACTGTTTCATTCAGGTTCCATACTGCTTGAAACAAGACATAGTTCACAAGATTATTGTTAGTTTTTAGTTCTCAATTTTTTACTGACAAAGAAAATGTTAATTTTGTATTTTCACAATAAATAACTTGAATTCTGTGGAAAAAGTAATATAGGCCAGCACATATGCAAGTTTACTTTCCCATAAAACATTTATTTATTTATTTGAAGTTAGCCACAGTTCTTGAAGCTCTTTCACAAAGAATGCTTTCTGCTTACAATTTTTTTTTCATTTGAGGCAAGACATTGCATATACGAGTGGCAACTGTTGTATGAAAATTTACATAATACGTTCCCCTAATCAACTTCTTGTTTTTCACCTAAGGATTTTTTTTTTTACTTTCATTCACTACCAAATTGTTATTAATTTGGCATGACTTGATTGAAAAGAAGAATCAGTGTGTCTTTCTTTACTTAATCTTTGAAACCCATTAAGATTGAATCAATATACATATATATTATTATTTTCAGAAGAATTAATTTTGAGGTAAAATAAAAATTATTCAAGGAATTAGTGTATTACAGTACAACTTATTACTAGTATTATCGGATTTAGAAATTCATTTAAGTTCTAGTTCCGAATACATTAATATTTTGAATGTGTATATTTTTGGGTTTTTTAATAAAAATTGCTGTAACTTTATTGTATTGTAGGGGTGCCAACAAGAAGTCTTCATATCTATTACAAGATTGCAGAATGCTCTAAACAATTATTTTTGTGTTTCCTAGGTAACTTTCAGACTGCAAAAGCTTTAAATTCTGAAAGATTGTTATGGTGTTTTAATATTTTTATATTGATTTTAATTTTTATGTCAGTCTTATGAAGCTACAATTGTATCCGTAATTGTCTAGTCTGTTTTGTTTGAACTTGGATTTATGAAATATGAATTGAAATGATCTCTGGTAAATGATAGTAAGTACAGAAAAAAACTAAAACAGACTTGCTATGAGATGTTTAGGTTTTGTTCCTTAAAAGAAAGATAAGGTTTAAAACAAACTTAATTTTGAATATTATTTATTTTTATACAAATATGTTGAAATTCAGTTTAAAACCATCATATTTGTTAGTTTGGTAGAAAAGTCTTGTTTTTCACATGTTAATTGAACTATCAACACCTTCTAATTCAATAATCATCACAACAATTTGTTCATTTAGTGCATGGGATGGACATGGTACTTGGCCAATGACATGCAGTTCTATATCATTAGTCCTTTGTTTCTAGCATTCTTTAACAGGTAAGTTGAAACCCAGAATTACTTTGTAGCAATATTTGTTTGAACTTCAGGTGTACAAGTTAAAGTAATCACAGTATTGTTTCTTAAATTGTTGAATTACAGTTTGTCCAAATAAAAAAGAAAAATTGTGTGTTTACATAAGAATAATGATATTTTATGTTCTTCGAGATAGTAAAAGAAACATGATACAAGAAGTTATGTGGTATATCTACTAATTCTAAAATATTTCAGTTCTTATTAGAGGTTTGTTGTTAGGATTAATTGACTCCCAATCTATTAAATATGCAAATTTTATACGATTTTTGACTTTACTTGAAAAAGAAAGAATAATTAAATGTTTATTTATAAATTAGTTATTTTTTAATACATGTTTATTTTGTATTTACCATGACTTGAACTAGTGTTGAGTCCTTATGGATCTCTAATCATGGTATTTATAGTTCATTTTGGCTTTGAAAAAGGTCAGTTTGAATTAAAGTACAACGAACTAGTATCAAACTGTAGTCCTATAGTTTCTTCTTGCTTGTAATTTTCTTTAAATTGTCTGGTAACTCCTTCAGTATGACACATTTTCTAACCTAGCTACTTAAAGATTGGATGTAATGGAACTTATTATAATCATGTTTTGGATAGAATAGTTCAGGATTTGTATGCAAAATGTTTAGTAATGGTAGGCATTGGTGAAAGGAATAAGTGTTTAATAGTTTTAAATATAAGTAAATGGAGTACACTGAATATAACTGTCAAACACACACCATATTTTCTAGCTTCATTAAACCTTGCAAAAATATTAAAGCTATACTTTGAACTTTTGAGAGTAAGTAAAAGGTTTAGCATTAGAATACTGTTAGCTAAGAACTGATGGATATGATTAAAATTAGCTTTTAATTTCTGTTTTTTGTTTTATTATTCTTTGTCTAAACAAGCTTTCAAAATAAAACAACTCAGTAAAATAAATGTACATGTTCATATGGTCAAATTAATTCCTGCTTCCCCAAATGTGTATCTCAGTAACGTGCCATTAGATCTTTGAGTATATGTCCAGTATAATTCTTGCTCTCTCTCATAAAACCTGTAGAAGCTTTAATTATTATGTATGAACCATTTTTATGTTGACTAAATTTATTGTTAAATCTGTTGCATTGTTTAATCAGACAGTATTGTTATTTAATAAGATACTTTTATTTAGTCACTCCATAATAAGCTTAATTATCGTTGGTGCTTTGATGATAACCTGCTGGACTTCAACTGGTGTGCTAAGTTCTATTCATGAAATAACTGCTGCGATCCAATTGGATAAGGATGCTGATCCGAATGTAGCTCAAAGAATGTAAGGACCTCTGAAATAATGCATTGTTGTGGGATATGTTTTTTATATTTTAATATAGATGTTCTGTTTTGTTACTAATGGTGGAGTTTTTCAAAAAGTAATGATGATGATTTATGATGTTTAAAAGTTTTGTGAGTTCTAGAATTGAGGTAATGTGGTCAAGAATTTTGTAAAAACTTGGAAGAAAAGAAGATTGTTGGATAATTAGTTAGTTGGTTAGTGAATCTGTTAATGTGTTATGAGCTAGTTAGCAAGTTTGTCATTCAGTTAGTATTGAGTTTACATCAAACATACAGGAGGTAATTTAACTAATGACTGTTAAGTGTCATTTATGAGTTAGTTAAAGAAATAAGATGTCTTTTTGAAGAAATAAAGATCCTTCGTTTCATTAAGTGTACTGAACTTCACATTATGTTTACCAAATAATAAAAAAATACACCCAACAAGAGTAACTGTTACAAAAATGTTGTTGGTAATAGGTGATATTTTTCTTTAAAAAATATTTGGTTGTGCAAGCAATCAAATTGTATAACACCTAAAGTAAACTGTTGGAAGTCAAACTAATATCTTGTGTATCAGCATATTATAGAAAAACCCATAACTCAGATACTTTTAATATTAAAGCAAAGATACTTTCATAAGATTTAAAGTTCAGTTTTATATTATTGGATACGGTAACATGAGTGCATGTGTGCTGTGTCATTGTAAATATTGTATTGCTAGCTAGGCACGGCTGGAAGATCAATATAATAATAAATATATATAAATGTAAGATGCTATCAGATTTAATCTATCTGGTCTAAACATTTGTGTTTTCGTGTTATAATTTGTAGTCATTCTAGAATGAAAAAGGCATAATTTATATTTATTTCCTAATTGCTTAAGGTGGTAATGAGATCAGTCAAACTGACCAAACAGACAAAATATGAAGTGTTTTTTTTTTAACAAAGATTTGAAAACTATCTGAACA